AGGCTGCTGTGACCGCCCCCCCCAAGTCTAACCTCCTCCATACTGGTGGTTTAACATAGGGATTCAAGGACCCACAACCCCCAGCAGGCTGCTGTGACCCCCCCCAGCCCAACCATCTCCATACTGGTGGTTCAACATAGGGATGTGAGGTCCCCCAACCCCCAGCAGGCTGCTGTGACCCCCCCAGCCCACCATCCCCAGTGCTGGTGGCTCTAACCCTGAGATCCCACCGGGATGGGGTGGGGACACTCACAGCCGGCCAGGACGTCGGTGCCACACACCAGCGAGGTCTCCTGGCTGTTGGGACACTGTGCCAGGCAGAGGATGGTCCCCGAGGGCATCCGGAAATCTGGCAGCCGGAGCTGGACGGCGCTGCTGTTGAGGGGATGCAGGGGACCCTCCAGGCGGTTGTAGTTGAGGAGGATGAAGAGCTTGGCCCGGGAGCAGCCGAGGGTGGAGAAGCAGTTGATGGAGATGTTGGAGCCCATGGGCACCACCGACGCCGGCTCGATCCACACGTGCCCCGAGCACTTGATGTTTGCGACACCTGCGCCAACACCCACCGGGTCAGGGTGGCTCCGGGTGGACATCCCATGGGAGAAGAGGTTGCCCATTACTCCACACGGGCTGGGATGTGGGCAGCAGCATGGCAAGACACTCCCCACCCACCCCCCCTGGACTCTTCCCCCTGGGATTGGGGATAAACCCCCCTGCCTCCAGCAGCGACCCGGCACCCAGGTGACTCATCCTCCTCAGATCGAAAACAGCCGGTTTCACCAATTTTGGGTTTTGCTCTAAGGCTTAGATGACTGCAGGGAAATAACCCGTACTCTTGAGAGCTCTGATCCCCCCGAGATTAGGGGTAGCAGCCCCCGCATGGAGGCAAGGCTGCCCTTCTCTATCAGATGAGGGCTCTGCGCTGAACCCCGGCTCCCCGATGGTTATCGGGCTCCATCTGCCCTTCCTGGAACAGGCTCAGCTGCCTGCGGAGGCAGGATCTCACCGTTTCTCGCAGCCACTGCAACCCCAGCACCCTTCAGAGAACCCTTCAGCTTGGAAGAGACCCTTGGGATCACCAAGTCCAACCATTAACCCCACTCTACAAAGTTCTCCCCAACACCACATCTAAAGGACTTCAACGCTGTGGGATGCAGCCCCGGCTCCTGGGATGTGGGAAGAGAGGATGCTGTGGGGTGTGGGGACTCCCCTCCCCCCCCCGGGAATGCTAAGGAGTCACTCCCCCCAAAATCCCTAGTGGAAACCTTATAATTTATCACCTCCAGCTCTAATTCCCTGGCAGGGATGGAATGAAGTGGTCCATGAGGGTGATGCTGTGGTGGCCGTGCCACGTGGCTACTTACCCCCACAGAGGCAGCAGAGCAGGAGGTGGAGCACCAAAGCCTCGCCGGACCCTGCCATGGCCTGGGCTGCGGCCACTGCCCGCGCGTGGCATATTCTGGGGGAGGAAGGGAGGAAAGGTGTGAGGTTGTTCCCCCAGCCCCATCGCTGCCCCACACTGCTGGCTCTGGGGTGCTCAGGGACCAGAGGTGGCAGTGGGGATGGAGGACAAGGCTGTAGTTGAGGGTTTGGGGTCAGGGGGGGTCGTGCCAGTGGTGGGAGCAGGGGGGGACAGGCCAGCGGGCACACAGGGCTCAGCATTTCGGGTCACAGCAAGGCCAGCAACAGAGCCTGGTGTCCAGCCCTGGTGAGCAGCTCTGAGACTTTCATAGAATCATGGAATCATCGAATTTTCTAGGTTGGAAGGGACCTTTCAGATCATCCAGTCCAACCACCAACCCAGCACTGCCCAAACCCCCACTGCCCCATGTCCCTCAGCACCACCTCTGCCCGGCTTTGAAATCCCTCCAGGGATGGGGACTCCACCACTGCCCTGGGCAGCCTCTGCCAAGGCTTCACAGCCCTTTTGGGGAAGAAATTGTTCCCAATCTCCATCCTAAACCTCCCCTGGTGCAACTTGAGGACATTTCTTCATGTCCCATGGCCTGTTCTTTGGAAGAGACCGACCCCCCTTGTCTACCCCCTCCTTTCAGGGAGTTGGAGAGAGCAAGAAGGTCTCCCCTCAGCCACGTTTTCTGGAGCTCCTGAGATGTGAGGAAGGGCTGGGGGAGCTGCTCAGCCTGGAGAGGAGAGGGCTGAGGGGGTCTCATCCCTGGGTATTGATGTCTGATGGGGCAGCAGGAATGAAGAAGCCAGACCCCTCCCAGCAGAGCCCCGGGACAGGGCAGGAGGTGATGGGGTCACACTGAAAATCAAGAAATTCCAGTTAAAGGTAAGAAAAAGCACTCTCAGGGTGACCAAGCGTGGGGTCGGCTCCCCCGAGGGGTTGCCCTGGAGTCTCCAAACCTGGAGATGCTCGAACCCAACCGGACAAGGATTCCTGGGACAGAAAATCCTCCTGGGTCCATAACATCTCTCCCACCCTCCGTGCTGTGGGGTGGGGGGAGGGAAGGGGGTCCTACCTGAGCTGAGCAACGGCTCCTTCTGGCAGCGCTCCCCCCGCAGCAGCCCCCAAAATCCCAGGTAAGAACTTCCCCCCTCCCTCTCTCACTCCTGGTCTCTGCATCCCATGGTCTTGCCCGAATTTTTCCCTGTTCTCCTTCCTCCCCAGCCCCTTTGGCTTCACACCCCCCGCCCCGGGTCACCCCTGCCATGGTGGGGTGGGGGCTGAGCAGACCCTTACACCCCCCTCCACCTGCTCAAAACCCCAGCAGAGCCCTGCACCCCCATAATTTTCTCTTTTTTTAGCCAGCAGGAATTAAAATAAACCTATACAAAAGTTTGAAAGACGTTCGAAAGGACAACTTTTTCCCCGAGGGAGACGCTGAACCCGGGTCTGCTCTAAAAGCTTCAAAATGAGGTTTTTTCAGCCCAAAGCAGGCCGCCAGCCCCAGCTCTAAGCTTTTGTGCTTCTCCTGCCGGGTGAGCTGACCTCGTTTGTTTTAAGGGCTGATTGACTCGTAATGAGTCAAATTTCCAGCGCCTTTCTCTTACCTGACCCACTAAGAGAACCTGAGGGCCTCCCAGCCCCCCATGAACTTTCTGCAAGTTAGCACAGATGGAAAACAAACCAAAAAAAAAAAAAAACCCCAAATCTCACAGTCTATGAAAAGAGCTGAAAATAGAATAAATCTGCCCGGCAAGATCTCGGGCTCTGCCTCCTCCGGGGATCACTCACGTTCGAGTTTTTTATTCCGATTTACGGGCGCTGGTGAACTCCAAAGGCAGGGGGAAGGAGGCTGTTCCCCTCACGGGGATATACTGGTCTTTGGGCTCATCCCAGTTAAAAAGTTTCCCCGGACATAAGCGCTAAAGAAATGCAAAGAAAAAGGAGGAGGAGGAAAAAAGCCCATCCCGGGTTGTGCAAGCCCAAACCCTGTGCAACTTTTCCCGGCAGCGTGTGTCAGAAGGGGATAAGCAGAAGCTGGAAAAAGACAAGATGAGATATATATTTTTTTTTTTGAGGAGGGGGGGGCTTTAAATCCTTACCTTGCCCGTCCTCAGGACATGTGGGGCCGGGGCCCCTCTGCCTGCTGCTGCGGCCGGGGCCAGCCAGCGCGGCGAGGAGCATCAGCAAAGTGTCGGCAGAGGCTGACCTAGATAGGGGCACAGAGGAAAAAAAAAAAATAAGAGAGTTTCCAGTCTGAGTCAGTCCATGGGGAAACCCAGCATCCCTTAACAGAACACCCCTCGGGGTGGGGAGGAGGGAGGGGGGGAGAGGTGTGTGTGGGGGGTTGTCTTTGTAGACTTTAAGTCGTTGGAGAATTTGGAGAAAATCAAGTCGATCCCAAAATGGGGTTTTTCTGCCCCCGTGGCTGGGTGAGGGGGGGGGCAGGAACCTGGAGGGGGGGATCCTGGGGGCCCGGGCTGAGCTCTGTCAGCAAAAGGACATTTTTTTTTTCTCCTACCAACCCCGAAAACCTACAGTGAAAAACTGAAGGGCTG